ACAACTACAATGAATGTTGACCAATGATTTCTTTTAAAACCAATGGACACTTTTAACTCTCATTTAGGGTCTTTACATACGGATATATAGTTTGTATGCTAACTCTGCACAAATCCAGGGCAAACCTTTCACAAACTAGCTCCCCCTAGAATTGTGCAGTATACAGTCTGCACACTGAAGGCAATGTCTGATCTTTTAGATCTCATTTAACATTTAACATGAATAATCAACACTTTTTTTTCTAGAAAATGTTTGTCCCTTGACTTCCATAATATTGTATCCTAATTTTCAGTTCTATTTTTTCACTCTTTTCTCCTTTGTGAGAGCTTCTCTTTTTGTCTATCCTATAAATGTTCCTATATGATAGGAACTACTTATCTCTCACTCCATTCATACACTGCATGGTAATCTCATCTACTCTCACAGCTTTACCTAAAATTTACATGCTGATGATCCACAGTTTTAGTTCAGATCTCTCTTCTGAATCCCATATCCACATAACCCAGCAGCTTCCTAAAATATTTGAATATTCTACAGGCCATATAAACTTCACATGTCCAAAACCAACAAAACTAACTAAAACTAAGGACGTCACTCCCTAACACAGATTGCACAAATGGAGACCATTTCTGTTATTTTATTTCTACATCTTTAGGGTCTTTATTGTTGTTATTTTGATTTTGGTTTTTGCCCACATTTCATCTATCTCAGGCCTGAAGGCAAGGTTGAAGTCCCCTTTTCTCCTTGTGGGCACTGTAGATTGTCTGGAAACTCCATTCTAAATTCCCTTTCTCATGTCTTACTGCATGCCAGTGGCTAGATAACTAAAGCTCAGATGTCCCAGTTTCCCTTACAGGTCAAATTCCGTACCAACCTAACTTTGACACATCTGATACATCCGCTCAACATTACAAAAAATTTCCTGTCAATGGTCAGGGCTAAAGAAGTGTGGTCCCGGAGTCAACAGCTATTGATGTTGTTTCCCCAGTTTCCTTATCCTCTATGTTGTTCTGAGAGCCATTTCATGTCTGCATGTGGAATACAGGAGATAAAGCCATGGGCTCCCTTGGGATGGAAAGAACCTACAGAGAAACTTCCTACATAAAGCTGGTTATAACCTCAGTATGAGGGTAAACGAGAAACCTGTTTCTCAGAAGGGCACACAAGGAAACTTGCCTATCTCAACTTTGATATTCAGTAGAAGGAGAGGAAAAAACATCTTCCCCTCACGATAGAGATTTTCTTAAACAGTACAACACACAAAGGACAGAACTAATACATTCATAAATTATGAATGTCTGTTCAACAAAGACACCACAAGAATGAAATATAAGTTACATAAACTGGAAAAAATAGTTTCAACACAATAACCAAAAAGAGATTAGTATTTAGAACACAGAATCTTCAAATATCAAAAACAAAACATCCTAATAGAAAAACAGGCAAGAAAAAAAGACATTTTGCAGAAAACACACTTGACCTCTGAGAATGAGATGTTAAATTTTGGTGAGGATGTAAAATCACAACAATGCTGAACTATTGCTGGTGAGACTGTCATTTGAAAACAGCATTGTCCAGTAAAGTTGAACATGCACATACCCTATGATGCTGGAACTCCATTTAGAGTAATACTCATGCCCATGTGTGCAAAGATATGCATAAGAAAGTTCACAGCAGCACTGATTATAAGAGCAAGACAAACAGATGTAAGTCAAATGACTATCAACAAAATGAATTATGAAGTTTGAGATATATTAATATACTGGAATACTATACTGGAATACTATACAGAAGTGGAAATGAACTAAATCTACACTCGACATGGTAATACTGAGTAAAAACAGCAATTTCCAGAATAATCATAGTATAATTTCATTTACAGAAAATTCAGAAACAAAACACTTATTACATATATGGCTTATTTTTAACTGTGTAGTTACTTTAATAGGTGATAAATTTAGCAATCTTTCAGCACAGTACTGATAAAATTACTTTGGGGTTCTAATAATTTGTTCTGTGGTTTCCTTTAAAGGATCCTTTCATGTTCATTTTTAATATTTTGATAATGTATACAGATTTATAAAATATAAAATATGTTTAAAGGGAACTTAAAGAAAATGCCAATATGCCCACTACCAAGATTAAGAAATTTAACATTAACATTACTTTAGAAGCCCCCCTCAGAGTCACTGCTTATACTACTCCTTCTGCTAAGACTTAACCATGATATTGAATTATTTCTTCATTTTAAAATAATTTGTGTATTTTATATAATATAGTATATAATTTTTACATATTTTTAAATTACATATGCAATTTTATATAAATGAATGTATTTTTATTTTATAAGGTATTTTCCATGGTTTACATATTTTATTATGTTTATACATTTTATTTTACATATAAATCTACAGAGACAGAAATAAGATTGGTAAGCTGCCTGGGGATGGGAGCAGGACAAAGAGGCCTGAGGAAACTTTATGGGGTAATGAAAATAGCTCAAAATTGTAATATAGTGGTGGCTGCACAACTAAAAATCATTAAGTTGTTATATAACAATGGGTGAATTTTATGGTCTACAAAGTATACTTTAAAATCTGTAAGAAACAAACATATATATGTTCACATATTACCTTTTCTGCGAAGTCTTCTGTGACCAGCCCAGGCAGAATTTTGTTTGCATTCCTCTTTTAGAGTACTCCTCAAATCAGGCTATACTGGTTGGCCTATTTTCAACAAGACTTTAGAGATCCTAAGGACCAGAGTATATTTTTTCAACTCTGTACCACTCTTCCACTATCCATTCCAATACATCCTACAGCAGTGCTTGAACTGTTCTTGCTCATTAAGTATGTTTTAATGAATGAATAAGTGGGAGTTCTCCAGCTAAATAAAAGGATCAGCCACTCTAGTGAGAAGTGACATTGTATGCTATCCTGAAGGAAGAGCAAACGCAGCAAAGAGAGTGTGGAGGTTATGAGCACAGGCTCTGGAGCCTCACTGCCCAGTCCAATTGCAGCTGCACTTCTTAGTAGCAGTGTGAACCTGGGCAAATTACCTAATCTTCTGTGCCTCAGTTTCCTTATCTAGCAAATGGAGATGATAGGTTATCTTCCTCAAAGAGTTACTGTAAGGAATGAAAAATATTTAAAAAGCATTTAAAACAGTTCATAACCAGCAAGTACATAAAAAAGTACTCTACATCATTAGTCACCAAGGAAATGAAAATTAAAGCTATAATGATATATATACCACTATACATCTATCAGAATGGCTAAAATTATAAAGACAGAAAATATTAAGTATTGGCAAAGATGTAACTGGAATTCTCATCTGTTGCCACCAGAAGTGAACATAAACTTTGAAAAACTACTAATAATTTCTTAAGAAATTAAACTATATCTACCCCCATGACCCCCAAAATCTATTCTTATGCATATATTAAAAAGAAACAAACATGATCACAAAAATTATAAAAATTTTGATAGCAGTTTTATTCATAACTTAAAACCGGAATGAATGCCAATGTCCTTGGGCAGAAAAAAATTGATAAACTGTGGTATATTCATAAGTGGCACACGGCTCAGGAGAAAAAAGGAACACACTACTGACACACGCAAAACATAAATCTCTAAAACACTACGCTGACAAAAATAAGTCAGGCACAAAAGAGTGCATGCTGTATTATTCCATTTGAAGGAATGTAAAGAACAAGCAAACCTAGACTATGGTGAAAGACGTCAGTGAGGAGTCCACTGCCTGCAGAAGGGCAGGACAAAAATTCCTCAGGTGATGCAAATGCATATCTTGATCTGATTCATGGCAGGGCTGATAAAACTTATCAAGCTGTGCATTTAATTTTTGTATTACATATAAGTTATATCCACCAAAATACTCTTAGCATAAAAAGTTTTGTATTTTTTCCCAATTAAAATGTTATTTCAAGTCATTAAAAAGTATTTGGTTCGAGACCAGCCTGACCAACATGGTGAAACCCCATCTCTACTAAAAAATACAAAAATTAGCCAGGCATGGTAGCAGGAGCCTATAATCCCAGCTACTTGGGAGGCTGAGGCAGGAGAATCACTTGAACCTGGGAGGTGGAGGTTGCAGTAAGCAAAGATTGCGCCATGGCACTCCAGCCTGGGCGACAGAGCAAGACTCCATCTCAAAAAAATAAGTATTCGGCATGTAGTAAGTATCCAATCAAAGTTATCTACTATTATCAGTTTAGACTGGCTAATTTGTTAAAGTAGAAGGGAAACCATCATTAACAAATATAACTGAGGTAAAACAATGAAACAAACAAAAACCAAAAGCTGAGTATGTCTCTCAAAAAAGCAGAAGAAAACAATGACAGGTGATTACAGTCACTCTCTCTGTTAAATTCAGAATTCCCTCCAAACTCCATTAATTAATTACTTTCTAGTTCATGCCTCTTTGATACTACTCTTAGAGAAGTGAAGGAATTTTTATTTTTGTTGTTAAAAAACACTCATTTTTTACCAGGATGAACAAACATACACTTGAATATTATTCAGGTTTTCCTATGGGTTACTTTTATATTATACATGAACTTTCTCTTCTAGGCCCATAGTGAATACAAAAAAAAAAAAAAAACCTATACAACAAGTTTCCAATTCTTACTAGGAATCTGAATTTAGTTGTGCAGTGATTACTGAGGCTCACTCATAGTGGTAATAAAAAACATTGACTATTATCTTCAGCTTATGCCTATAACATTGCACTTAAAACACTGATGTCATATTAACATTAGTAATTAAAGGCAAAATTAATTTTAACTGTGGAAGGGGGATGCTTTTTGAATACCACTTTAGAATGTTTTCAGTGGGTCAGGTGAAATAAGGTAAGAGTCAAAGAGTCATGACAAAGAACTATAAATACTCTTAATAAGGTAGAGAAGAGTAAGTATGCATGTGTGTGGATAAACCACAGCACTCCTCTACCAGGAAACAAAGACTGAAGTTACCAATACTCACCTTAATCACTTGATTCTCAAGATACTCCATAAAACAACCAGAGCTTGCTATACATTTTCTACATTTCCAACAACGAAGAATACTTGTTTCCTCTTGACTATGATTTTTAGTTATCAATTCTTTGCTTCCTTTCATCTGTGGAAACAATAATGCATTTTTAGACTGTTAAACTGTCAGATAAACTGGACTCTCTAAATCCTTAGCACAGCATTAGCTACAAGTGGAGCATAAAGCAGTGAACTATCATTTATTAAGGTACCTACTAGTTATCAGGTCTTAGGTCTGGGGTACTCTATACATTACATCTGAGATTGAAAATTCCAATTAATTATGATGATACATTATGTTAGTGACTTACCAGGTTATTTTCTTTGTGCAAAAAGTTTTATATCTACTGCTTTTCACTTGACTCTCACTAAAAGTGGTAAACACAATCTGTAGAGTCAATTCAATAAGTTACTGCAGGAGTTTTTTTGTTTGTTTGTTTTTAGACAGGGTCTCACTCTTGTAACCCAGGCTGTGGTACCATGGCACAATCATAGCTCACTATAGACTCGAACTCCTGGGCTCAAACAATCCTCTTGCCTCAGTCTCCTGAGTACCAGGGACTATAGGAGTGCACCACCACGCTTGGCTTTTTTTTTTTTTTTTTTTTTTTTTTTTTACTTTCTGTAGAGACAGGGTCTTGCTTGGTAGCACAGGCTGGTATCAAATTCCTGGCTTTCCAAGCAATCCCCCTGCCTCAGCCTCCTAAAGTCCTGAGATTACAGGCGTGAACCACTGCATCTGGCCTATAGCGGTTTTAAAAAGTCATGACAAAGAACTAAATATTCTTATAAGCAGGATGTTTTGAATAGTCATACCATTAAATTTTAAAAATAAGATTTACCGTGTTGTTAATTCTGTGAAAGTTGGAAGTGTCTACTTTAAATTGATAGCAAAAATCCTTTATCCTGAAAGCAACAGTCTCCATTATATTGTACTTTTTGGTACAGTTAACTATATACTACCTCTGGTATATAATCAAGCAAGACTCAGAGAACAGCCCCACCAATTTTGCAATCTATTTTTGCACCTGAGATTTTATGTCACTACTTTGATTTAAACCAATCTGGGATAATAGTTTCACACTAATATCTAACAATTCCAAAATAGGTACAGGGTGTTAAATAACTTGTCTGGTAATTATCCATTATAAAGAAAGGCAATATTAATTTATCAGGCTACCCACATGGGCCTGCCTAGTTCCCTGGCCACATTTCATTTGTTCATTCATTTCTCATTCATCCAACACTTACTGAAAGCTACCTATGTGCCAGACAATGAGTCAAACTCTGGGAACACGAAAATGAGTAAAACTTACTTTCTGTCTCAGAGGTGCTCACTATGCTACAGATCAGCAGTTTTTCAACTGTAGCACATAGAATCGCTTGGGAAGCTTTAAAAAAACAGTGATGCCTAGGTCCCACTCCTAGAAATTTTTACTGATTGTGAGATGGGGATGGAGGTAGAAATGGACATTAAAAAAAAAAAAAAAAAATCCCCAAGGGAATCTATAGTATGGTCAGAGTGAACACAGAGACGTGTATACAATTAACAATGAAGTAAAATGCAACTATAAGAGAGGGAACATGGACAGACAGTAATCAACTTTAAAGGTAGGACTTAAAGAACTCTGGCTGAGGGCAAAGCAAGCCCCTCTAGTTCAGACCTTCAAGTAGATAAGCTGCAGTTTTGTCTCTACTGACCCATCTTCAGAATGCATCTTAGCCCAGTTGACCACTCCATTTTAACTGCAACCTCAATGATCACCAAAAATCATTTAATTTGGCCAGGCATGGTGGCTCACGCCCGTAATCCCAGCACTTTGGGAGACCAAGGTAGGTGGATCATCTGAGGTCAGGAGTTCGAGACCAGCCTGGCCAACATGGTGAAACTCCGTCTCTACTAAAAATACAAAAAATTAGCCATGTGTGGTGGCACACGCCTTGTAGTCCCAGCTACTCGGGAGGCTGAGGCAGGAGAATTGCTTGAACCCAGGAGACAGAGGTTGCAGTGAGCCGAGATCGTGCCACTGCACTCCAGCCTGGGCAACAAGAGTGAAACTCTCTCAAAAAAAAAAAAAAAAAAAAAAATTTTGCTTAATTTGCAAATGTCCTGCCCTCCTCTTTCTTCATTGTTGAAGCACTAACACACTTAACTTCTTTAGTATTCTTCTTTCCTCTCTATATCCTTCTTAGCCTCTTTTATCTTCACCTCCCTTTTAACCAGTGGTCCACAGCCAGGATAGGGACTGTAGGGAGGAGTCATATCAAAATCAAGTATGGAGAAACTCCACATCTGCCTGTGCCCTCCAACCCTGAGATACCTGCCCTCTTCTCCCTGAAATTTTTTCATGCTTTCTTGGGGTACAATTATGTAGTAGGAAAAAAGCCTGTAGGAGATTATTGTAAGTCTTCATTTAAACACTGAAAACTATACTCACTCTGTGCGATAATTCTTCTGTATCAATGATTTTTACATCCATAGATCTGTTTTGGTCTTGTTCCAAAGCTCTAATCCAATATTTTCAATTTCCAAATGCCAATGCACATCTCTCTACGAATCTCCTTCAGGGCCTTTGTACTGGCTGTTCACTCTTCATAGATCTGAGCTATTCTACACAGTAGCTACTAGTCAGACATGCTTATTGAGTGCTTGAAATGTGACTTATCTAAATTGAGATGTTCAGATTTTGAAGTGTTGGTAGAAAAAAAGAACGTAAAATATCTCAGTATTTTTAAGTACATGTTGAAATAATACTTCTAATATACCAAGTTAAGGAAAATGTATTATAAAATTAATTTAACTTGCTTCTTTGTACTTGTTTGTGTGGCTTTATAGATAAGGTTTGCATTATATTTCTACTGGATAACATTTGTCTAGACCTCCTCACCTCTCCTGGGTCTCTGCATGGTTGGCTCCTTTCTCATCATTTAGATCTCGGTTCAATGTCATCTCCTCAAATATACAGAATAAGGAACCCCTTGAATTTACTTAAATACAAGTCAGTGGGCCACAATCTAAGAGATTCTAATTCAGGGTTTCTAGGATATAAATCTTTGCATAAAGTTCAAATTTATCACTTATAACACTGCCAAATATCCATGTCTGAATACACAGTTTGCCAATCATTCAAGTAAAACATAATGTGCCATGAAAAGGTACCTAGTTCAACTCTCAACCAAAACAACTGAACATGGGTTTTTCCTCAAGACCATCATCGGCCATCAGTAGACTGCAGAAGTGCTCTATGGGTTCTTCTCATTTTTTCCCACAAAGAACATTTAAAAGATGTACTTAAAAGTAAAGATTTAATAAAATATTATTTACTGCTTCAATAAACAGGTTTTTTGCATCTGTATGGTGGTAAAGAATAAAATGACTTCCAGTACAGATTGTCACCATTGCCTTGATTTTGCTAAGGGACCCGCAGTTTTACCCACTATTGCTTTTGTATTATTTGTGCAAATGTCAACACAGTGAAAAAGGCAAACGACATCTTAATATTACCAAGAAAACAGTTTTGACCAGATTCTTTGACAAGGTCTCACAGACATCAGGGGCATGAACCACATTTAGAAAAATGCTAGTTTATGCAAAACAGCTGTCTCAAAAATGTTGTTTTTGAAAATTTTACTTCTCAATAACATTCTTCAAAATATTTAGGAATGATAGATGAGTCCCTATGGAAAAACATATTTATAACAGATTAAGTTGAAATTTTTTATAATACCAAGCACTGGAATTATAATCTCCATAACAAAGTTGCATTTATTTGTCTATCCTTTGCTATTTGCTACACTTTATGGTAAAATACCAGCATTTGGCACAGTAATAATTCCACATTCCTGGGTCTTTAGTCTTTGCTGACCTTTTTATTTGTTATTCATAAATTTAAACTTGAGGTGGACAAAATTATAAATTAAAATTAACCTAAAGTTAGAAAATACGAATAAAACAAAACAATTTTTAATATTGAAACAGAACTCAGATATCTTCTCCAAAGCAAGTTGGAAGGGGGATATAAGCATAAATGCTGTAACTGCCATATTTTACCAATCTTTTATGAAATAATCTTTATAACCTATAAACTGTAGTCCAGAATACAGAAAAGAAAAAACAGCTCCTCCAAATAATTCTATAAGAGTAATATAACTTTGACATATTAATTAGACAAGGAAATATAAAACTAGACAAGGTATGAGAAAAAAATAAACCAATCTATTTACAAACATAGATGCTAAAATTCTAAATAAAATATTAGCCAACAGAATCCATCAATGAATTAAAATAATAATACATTTTGACCAAGTAAGATTACTTTCAGGAATTCAAGAATGGTCAAAATTGGGTGAAAAATTATTCAATATACTGAAATGGAAGATTAACAGAAAAACATGCTCACCTTAAAAACTGCAAAAAATAAAACTCTTGGTGAAATTCAACATTTAGTCAGAAATGAAAAACAAAACCAAAAACCACCACCCTAGCACAGAAGGAAATTTCCTTAACCTGAGAGAAAGGGAATTTATCAAAAACATTAGCAATCATATATTACTTGATGGTGAAACTTTAAAATCATTCCATTAAAATCAGGGAGAATACAATGACGCTCACTATTTGTCCTATTATCCAAATTTGTAGCACAACTCCTAGCTAATGCTAGTAAATAAGAGATACAGCATCAGAAAGCATTAAACAGTGAGGGAAAACAAAAACAAAGAAACAAAAAACAAACTAAGTTCCTGTTAATATATGACTTCATTTTTTGGTTTTTAGGTTACAGGTGTTTCCATCTTGTTAGAAATACAGCAGGCCCTTGAATAACATTGTTTTATTCAATATCACCTAGTTATAAAATTGATGAGGAAAGGAAAGTCAACTTCCATTGTAACATTATGAGAAAAATAATCAACTCCTGACCAGAGCCACTGTCTGTGTGGAGTTTGCATACTCTCCCCATATCTGTGCAGGTTTTCTGTGGGCACTGCAGTTTCCTCCCATGTCCCAAAGATGTACATATTAGATTAACTGGCATGTCTTAATTGTGCCAATCTGAGACAGTATGAGTGCATCCTGTGATGGAATGGTGC